GTCGCGCATGCGGTGGAAGGGTCTCCGGTATTGGATATATATAGATATTGAATCGGTCATATTTAGGCAATTAGTCACATCTGCACATTAGTGTGATACATCCGCATTGATGCCTGTTGTATCGGTATCAATGCATGATGAGTTGTGAAGGGGTTTGTGCCATCTACTCTTGGAATACAATCAAATGACAAGATCTTAGCGCGCAGCAGAAGCAGGGATATCCTGATACTCGTTTATTCTGACGCATAGCAGGTCACTGGTAGTTAGGAATTCATGCAGGCTGGGGTGTTCAGCTCTTCCTTTGGAGCGGGGGGGGGGGTGACCTCTGAGTGCTCTCTTGCCTCTGTCCGCGTCCTGGGCGTCTCCGGAGTCTCTCCCAAAAAACGGGTGTTCGACCCCGTCGAAGAGGTGCGGATGGTGGCCATGGGCTACGAGCACTGCTTGATCGTGACGGCAGATTCCCTGCCTCGCCCCCAGCTGGAAGGAAGCTGGAAGGAAGAAGCGTCAGGGTGGAGAACCTGGCCGGGTCCATTTTGACCTGGCCGGGTCCATTTCGACGCCGGGTCTGAAGAAATTTGGCGGATTTTGTCTCATGAGTTTCATCATGAGCTTTGAAGGGGCCTTGTGGCTGACTATTCTCCCTTTAGGTAGATTGAAACCAATTGGGTGGGATCATCTTTTAATGCTCGAGATCATCGGGGAGAAGGTGGCGACTCAAGGACCACGCGGCCACGTGTGGTCGCCACAAGGTCCCTCCACTGCCCTCCCCACGGCCGGTGTGGACGCTTGGACCCCCGGTGAAAACCGCTGGGTGTTGGACGTGGGGAATCAGAATCGTCTGAACGGTCCATGGGTTCTGCAGGGTCCAGGTGCCTCCCTCCTGCATCCGACGGTCCGTGCCGCTCACGTGGAGCTTCGATGTTTGTCACGCTTCATTGCAGGATGTACGCCTGGGGCAATGGCAGCAAGGGGCAGCTTGGGACGGGCTCCATGCAGGCAGAACTGTTGCTTTGAAAGGTGGCAACCATTCTGGTGGAGGGTTCTACAACATTCTACAACTCGGATTTCTTTCATCAACGGCACGCTTGCCTTCCCGAGTTCTTCCGTATGTGTTTGAGTGGTGTCTTCCTCGTTGCATGTTGGGAGAAGCTGAGATTGGATGAGCCTGGAAGCGATGTTGGGGGGGGGTGCGTGTGGGGCGTGAAAGAACCACGGTCAAGATCTTGCTCACTCAGATTTTTCTATGCCAGCGAAGCCCGGATGGAAGCTCGGGAAAGGCGTGGGGGTTCTGGTGAAAATAGGCATCTCATTTTCTGTGCTTCTTTTGTGCGTGTTAAGAAAGTGGAACTTCAATATCTTCAAACCACGTGCCTCTTCACGGACCCTCGAAAATGATCTGGAATGATCATTGACCATTGATACCGAACACATTTTTGTTGGCAGAGCTAGGGTGCGTTTGTAGAGGGTTTCGTTCTCATTATATACCTGGGGCCCCTGGGGGCAGGGATAACTGGGGGCCTTGATGGAGCTTGGTGCATAGTTCTTTCCGATGTCCTGGACGTTGGTGCCGTGTTTGGGCGGAGATGACACGCGGCGATACCACGCCGCAGGCGGCTGACACGCCCCAGTTCATCACCTATCCCACTGACGTGTTGGATGTGGCTGCCGGCGAGGACTGGTTGGAAGCGATGGCCACGGGATTTTGCACGAGCCAAGGGCCGTCCTTTTCAGGGCCATCAGGCTCTTTAGGTCTGCAGCTGGTAGGGTTTAGGGGGGCCGGGTCAGCAACCGATTGAGGCCGGTTCACCTCCGATGTGTGGGAAGGGGATGGAAGGGTCCTGAACTTTTCAGGAGCACTCAGCCTGTCTCATCGAAGGCGGGGGTGCGGGAAGTTTGAAGCAAGAAAGACCAAAGAGGCAAATCGCAGACGTTCAGGCGAAAAAGTTCTTACAGTACTCGTTCAAAGAGCCTTACAAACATCAAAAAGCCACTGTTTGGATGACAGGAGGTTTGTTGGATTCTGTCGGATGCAGGCCAAAAAGGAGGCAGCGAAACGACAAAAAAGGCAAATGCATGAAACCATCACCACTTTTGGGATATCATTTCATGCCAAAACAACAAAAGGTCGCGATTGTATGACATCTGGAAAGCATTCTTCAGGCGATCCACTCACAACAGCAAGAAAAGGTACATCGGTAGCTACCAAGTGCTAAGCAGGCCTCCACCTAGTAGCTTCTAGCTAGTAGTTAGTAGCTTCTTTCTACCAGTGGTGGCCTTCAATGATCCGTGAGCTCTCGGTGGGGTCAGGTGGGGAGTGCTTTACCTGGGGCAACGCGGTGGGCGGCCGCTTGGGCCTCGGGAGCTGCCTCACCGATGGCGCCCGGGAGCCCGGGACGGTCGTGCGGGTGGTGTGGTGCACTCAGGTGGCCCCCTGAGAAGTGAGACGGAGAACTCACACTTCACCACTCCGATGGTCATCTGCGGGTAGTATAAAGCCTTTTTCCTTTCGCGAGTACTGAGCCGTGTGGCTCTTGGTCTTGGTCTTGGTTGTATAAAACCATCCTAAGAAGCCAAAGCAGACCTGTATTCTTGTTGGTCAGCTGCGGGACGAAGATGTTTGTCGGCTTTCCCGTCCTAGCTCGGCGGTGATTTTGGAGAAGGGCGTTTAATGATACGGCGACCACCGAGATCTACACATGCTCAGAGGAGATTCACTGGAATCTGAACATCTCAACTCTGGAAGCTGGCGATCTGATTGGGATGTTGAGAAAACTCCAACCTTTGTCCTCTAAGTCCTTTGTGGGTTCTATGACTCTCTATTTCTTGGACGGCTCTACAACATTCTAGTATATTTTTGACCGTCCCTGATCAGAGTGGCTCCTGGTAGATTCTACTTCTTTTTTCTTTGGGCTTTTGGGGCGTGCAAGGGTGTTGTACCCGCACACATGCCCGTACCTTCTCAAAGGCAGGGTTTGGTGGGCCAGATCGGGGCCACTACTACTACTGTTGGTACTACTGTAGGGTTGCCCTATGGATCCACATACCCTCTAGAGGCTGATGGCTTCTGAGAAAGCCTCTGGAATCCCTCGGGTATTATCTGGAGAACCCTCCCCTTTGAATCATCGTGCAAGTAGACGATATGAGCAACTGCCAAAACCCAAAACCTCCGATAAGGTTCACAGAAAAACAACGATGACGTTTGGAAGAGTGCGCACTACAACGCATAAGAAGGTTTAGCATGTCGCTCATTTGGTCCCTGGCTCAGGCTGCGGCCAGTCCAAGGAATCGCTCGGGTGTGTCGCTGAGGAACAGCTCTCGCCCAAGCGCGTCGTCATCGACCAGACTGAGGCCGTGGCAGGAAGGGCGTTTGGCTGGAAGTGAAGAGATCATTCGGTCGTAATTAGATTGCTTTGTTGATCTTTGCATTATATGCCTCATATGTTTTTATGATGCCTTTGGTTGCCTTTTCTGGTGGGCCTGATTGCTACTATCTTAAATGGCGGATTGGTGGATTCCCATGGAGAAAACTAGTCTTTCTGCTGGTACTGGAGCCATACCACCGTCTCCACCGTCTCCATGTGTAAGGTGCCGGCATGATCCACATGCTTGTGGAGCCACGTCTTGGAAACTGCTGGGCGCCCCCACTGGCGTCACTTGAGACCAGATGGGGGCGCCCAGGTCTTGGCTGCTTGGGCAGGTCTTGAGCCTGCTGGGTTCGGATGGATCTTTGGAAGTCACATGTTGCCCATCTAAGTCACTGCTTGCGCTGGTCCGACGCATGACATCAGCAATGAAGCTCAAAACACATGGCGCTACCGGCCACTTCCCAAGGAAGGCAAGGCCTGACGCTTGGCAGAATCGGACCGAACGACGTTGGCCTTTGGATGGATGGATGGACTGGACTGGACTGGCTTGGTTGATTGGCAATCCCTAAGTTCTTCAGGAATTTCAAGACTACTTCAAGAACCCTAAAGTTTACGTGCGGTCTAGAGCGGATCGAATTGACACGTCCATTTTGTCTGGCAGGTACAGCACGGTCAGATTTCCACACCCGTTTATATCTATCATACTTATAAGGCTTTCAGGTGTGGAAATCTGACTGCAACTTAGGTGTCGACATGTTGCACGTAGGATTCTAAAGGGAAAGGGTTTGTCCCGTTTTAGAAGTCAAGAAGCGCAACTGTCGGCACCCCAGTGTAATCCGGGAATCTAATTAACATCATCCTTCAGAGCCTGTCTCTCTCCACCTCCCATGCATCTTCCAGCGGTGCGTCCGCCACCCACGGACGCAGCCCGCCCGCCCGTGCCCGCAGCCCGCCCGTGCCGCGCCGCGGCGCTCAGGTCTTGAGCGCCCTTGCTGCGCCGCAGCTCGCGAGCACCGCGCGGCACGGATGGTGCGCTACTACAACCCGCACGAGTCGGCGATCCGCTCGATTTTCAGATGGCGCTACACGCTGACGCCGCTGGGGCCGGAACGGGGGAACGGGGAGAAGCAACAAGCTTCCGCGGGTGCGTGAGGGGCTGGGCCTGGGTTCGTGGATGCTGGGGATAGACCACTGGTGGAGCAAGAATGAGAGGGACTGCCATGTATGTTTTCATGTGTTCTCCGAGATTGATTTGACTTGGTCACTGCATCAGTTGATTTGTTCCTTTCAACTAAGTTGATCAATGGCTCCACTCCCAGCGCCACTCCCAGCGCCGGTTCTTCCGGGCCGCCGGTTCTTTCCGCTCAGGTCTTCGGTGTTCTCGATGTTTGAGTTCTGGCTCTACATGGTGATCGCGTTCACGGCCTCTTTGGCTTGGACTGGGGGTTGGCGAGGTGACAAGTGCGGGGCCCGTGTTTCCCCTTGATCGGAGAAATGATAGATGGATAGAAAATAGATAGATAGATAATCTATTATATTGATTATATTTATTGTGTGTATACTTAATTTGTTTTCTGGTTGAATGTGCGCCTGTAGCTTCTTGCATGCCCCTGAGCAGCACATCAAAATAGACTCATGTGGACTGTTGGCCCGCCATTCCTTCTCATCCCAAGCTCCCCTCCCCAGGGCCCACAGAACCTGAGTCCTAACCGCTGGCAGGACCTCGACCTCACCGGAGACCCAGTTCCACCAAATCAGCAACTGGACCCTTTGCACAGTGGACAAGAAGTAGATGACACTGGCAACCCCAGATGTAGACAGATGGGGGTCCATATAGACCAAACTGGGGAGATGGTGCCACCTCTGAAACCACCACATCCGGTCCAAAGAGCGGCTCCAGCGCACCCGTTCCATCCACCGGACACTCCGGGCCCTCCGCGAGGGCCCGGAGTGTCTGGTGGAGCCGAGGTGATGGTCCTCATGGACCGCGGCGTGGTGGATCTGCCCTTGGGCGCCCCGGGGGGCGGGAGCGAACTCGGGACGGAAGGGACGGTGAGGGTCCGAAGCGGAAGGCCACTCGGAAAGGCGGAAACAGATTGGGAGTTCGTAGAGGCGGACTTTGGAACTTCGTGGGATGGTTGAAAGGGGCAGGGAGAGACCTGGAAACCGAGGCGCGCGCCAGGAAAACTCGCATCACAACCCCCACGTTCGTTCAAAGGATCAGCATGAAACATGGCTCTAGGATGGGATGAAGGGCTTGCCGGTCACACTTACGACCACCATTCTCTGATCTTGGAGCCTCCTTCGACAGAGAAACCATGTGCAGTGGCCTCAGTGGGAACCCTGAAGAGGACCTCTGCTCAAGCTTCGCCCCACTGCCTCACGCGCCACCCCACCCCAGATCCGCCGCACCAACACCCGGTTCGGACGACGCCCGGCGAGAGGCGTGGTGAACCTGGACGTCTGGAAGTTGCTCAGTCCGCAGCTCTCCGTGACGATCTTCGCCGCTTGGACCGGTACCAGGGGACCCCCGAGGTTCAGGCGCGGTCCGGGGGAAAGGAGGAGAAGCGGTGCGGGGGAACGGGGGGGGCATTTCAGGGACGAAGGAGTAGTTGAAATGGTCCCTGGGATGACGAAGTTCCTTGGAAAAGACCAGGTGGTGGTCCACTTCCATGCTTCTTTCGGGAGTGTGGCTGGTGGAAGTGGACGTGGTTCATTCTGCTTCGAGTCATGGGCGCCAACAAACACCGAGTGGGTGGAGATCGTGTAGGTGCCCGACGGTCCAATCATGCTAAACTCTTGCCACACATGTTATACCAGGACCCACAGGAGTTGGGTGGTGAATGGACACCCCGAATCACCTCTAAGGGGCTATCAACAGACACCCCTTAGGTGTCCGGGTATAGACAGTCTATGACAGGTTTTGACATGTCGCTTAACCCAGCCCTCCCAGCCCTCCCAGCCCTCGGTAGGACAGTGAACAAACGTCCCAAGAAGTACCGATCCGGGCGACAAACGTCCGTGCCTCACGGGCCACCGAGGCAGTGGTCTTTTACAACAACCAATGCTATGGTCGCTACATGAGCTGCTTGGACCCTGACTGCTGGGGGGGCGCTTCCGAAGACCAAGCGACTGCAATCGGTGGATGAGTTCGAGGTTCTGGCAAATCCCTTTGGCTGCTTCTGTTTCTTCTGTTTCTTCTGTTTCTTCTTCTTCTTCTGCTTCGAAGTCCGCTGACGCTGCGTCAGGGTGCGTAGGTGGCCAAGATGCCAGACGTGGTCTCGATGCCCCGCATCCACAGACCCACCCACACTCTTGATGTTGAAGCGGGTGAGTTCATATCCTCCCTCGTCCTATCTCTTCAGCAAATTAAACTGGACTAAGGTTTTAGCAATAGTTTACTCTACTCTGCTGTTCAGTTCTTTCTAGCTATTGATCACTACTTTACCTCTGAAAGAAGGTGCAAGAACAGCAAACGCAAGTGGTTTGAGTGCTGGCCAGCTCAGGTTTGTACGCATCCTGTGTGGTCCGCAGCTGAGTTCGTTTGTTTGGCTCTCGCATTTGGCTCTGGTGAAGCATGTTTGGTGTGAAACGCTCCTGAGGCTCTAGGGGGAACTTGAGCTAACGGGAGATACTTGTATCATTCACCACCACGAGAAGCAAAGGGGCCGCAGCCGAAACGATGTTTATGTTTTAAAACTTTTTTCCTTTGCGAACTGACGAGCTGGGATGACTTGTGACTGGTGAAATTCACCGTGCTTTTTGCGTGCTATGGCATGAAACAAACACCGGTGCTTCGGTGTCGCCGCATCGCCGGGCTTCGCCCGCTCGGATCGTGGTGGAAACGGAGGAATTCAGCGGCGGTCCTGTGGGGCGCTGTGTTGCGTCAACGGCTGAGGATATTGACGTGAGTGAAAAGAACTTAGTGCCGCTTGGCTTTCTCACCGTGGCTGCCTGGGTATGAACGCTTTTTGCTTGGTAGGGGGCATCATGAACCAGTGAAGAGCGGGGTAGGTCATAGGGCGGGGCTCTTGCCACTCCTGAAATGCATCTTAAACATCTCAACTACTTGGTTATATATGGATGACTTCTTCCACTGATGATGACTTCAGCAATTCACTTGGTTCATTTTTGTCCCATGTTGACAACAGTTCTGGGTTCGGTGCACCTGCGTCTCATGTTCCGGAACATGTTCCTGTTGGCATCGGCGAGCCCCACCGCAGATCTCCACGGTTCATGAGGGGCTGAGGCTGCTGATTCACGGCACATGGGGTCTGAGGTCGGAACTCTTGGTGGACTTCGGACATGACCCAGATCTGCAGACCAACATCAAGCAAGCTTGCAAGCATCTTGGCGTCTGAAAAATGTCTCCATGCGGGCTGTCTGTGGAGTGGCTTGCAGCAAGAACACTTGGTCAATGAACGTGATGACTGAGGTACAGCCTTGCAGCGATCTTCTATTTTTACTTATCGATGGAGGATGAGAGCCCCGGGATGCAGCTTGGAAGAGTCATGATTCTGCCCCCCCACGTAGATAGATTCAGTGAATCAGCCTGGTTCTTCAAAGTGACCCTTTCAAAACCCCACATGAGGTCACGGCCGGCCAAAGGTCACGACTGGTGACCCTCAAAAGGTCAGTGTGAAGATGAAGAGGCTGGGTATATGAATCGGTTCAATCCCTGGTCTTATTTTTTTGTGTTCGAACCCTGGAGTCTTTGGGCACCGGGTGCCTGGGCCCAAGGGGGGGGGCCTCGGCGGATCGAATGTCGCCAAGGGCATCGCTCTGACCGGAGCGGCTGGACGCTACGAACGTAGCTCCTGGCATTACACAAGAAGCTACTAGAGTGGAGGCCATCGCTACTAGGGTGGAGGCCGTACGACTTGTAACAAGAAGCTATTAGTAGCTCCTGGCATTACTACTAGGAACCTAGAAGCTAGTAGTAACAAGGGCATCGCTAATAGTACTGTAGATGTCCGTATCCTGGGGCCGTAGGAGAGGGGTGACTGATATTGGATGGTTGATTGGCCGTAGTTCCTGAAGCGGTCCTTTCCTCTGATCTTTTTCCATTCGCCCTTACAGGGGTGCCATTACAAGGCGCAAAAGCGGTGTGGTCAGGCACTGATCGTGCACCACCACTAACTCTTCGACCTGGTTCTGACCGCCACTTCTGACTTCTATCCGCCTGGTTGCCCTCTGTTCGAATCCCTCTTTGGGACCTTCAGCTTTCATATATGCAAGAGATACTTTATACATCTTTATACCGTAGACATTTGGAGCATTCCCAACATCATCTACAGGTTCCAATTTGCGAAGCTTCCATTTTCCATCTACAGTAGCCCCAAGATACTCCAAGAGAACTGCTGTCTTCCACCCTTTGTCCAGCTCGTTGCACTCCTTGGCCCCACCCGGGAGGAAAGGGGTTTGCCGACTTCGCATGCTGAGGCGAGTCACCTGGCAGGTGATCAAGGACGGGGGGGGCACACCAGATGGGCTTTGCGGCGATGCGTCAACGGGCGTCGTTTTGTCGATGAGCTCGTCATCGGACGAGGTCTTCGGAGGATCCTTGGGCTGACTTGGGATCCTTGGGATCCATTCCCTTGTGCCTCAATAAGAACTCCCAGTCCACTGGATGCCGGCAGGAAGTGAACCACCAGCACTCAGTACTAACGTATATTAAGGAGTCGTAACGAGGCTTCTGTCGAGGTATGAGTAGCTCAGCAGCTCAACCTTTTTGTTTCCATGCGACTTAGGTAGGGTGTCAGGCGCTCATTGTGCCATCGTGTGCCTCTACAGTTTCAGATCCCTTCGACAACTCTCTTCGTGCATCCCACTACCTGCCGAAAGGCTCTTTTTTTCCCATCACATGCCATGCCGTTCAATCATTTGGGACATGCAACCACAGAGGAATGCAGCGCACCAGGAGAAGGGCTTGCTCTCGGATGCCGAAGTTCTGCGGGTTTGCGACTATCCGGGCACCACGCCGCTTGGTGGCACGAGCTTCGCGCTCTGGGGGGGTTTGTGCTGCTTGAGGAAGTGAGTTCCGAAACTTTGGACCATATTGTGTGGATACCACTAAGTCTTCCTCCACCCTGCGTTGTGAACTGTGTTGTGAACATTTATGAACGGTGTTATGCATGTTTCATGATGTTGGACATCATGTGACGCTCTTCGATTTGAGGCCTATGGTCCCCTAGAGACTGCCCTGATGCGCTGAGTGGAGTGAAGTTGGGACATAGATTCAGTCTTCATGTAGCCTCATAGACTCCATAGACGATTGAAATAAGACCCTTGACATGCACGTGGACTATCATCCACCCTTAGTGATGTGAAAGGTGACTCTCACTGCGTTGGAATCCCGGAATTGGCCGCCACAGGTGCCCCGCTACGGGTCCGCCTGGGAGGGGAGTTCAGTGGGGTCTGAGGTTTATGCTGCTCTTGCACTGGGCCAGTATGGCGGTGAAAGATGGGATCTGGCGCCTGCGGGTGGCTTGGCTGGAGATCACCCTAGACTCGCACTGCCAGAGCTTGAACAACCCCACCACTCAGATGGCCTGTCCACTACGCTTCAAGTTTGGATTCCCTAGCAGATTCGTCCACCACCGACGGCTTCAAGAACAGCGGCTTCACCACAGAATCATCGAAAGAGAGAGCTTCTTCTTTCAAATTCTTCCAATGGCTCCGATTGGGCAAACATTCTACCCCTTTTTTAACGTACGTTTTCTTCTTCAAAAGCTTTGAACAGGTTTGAACCACCCCACCTTCCCCCACTCCCTCCCCCGTCCTCGGCCGAACTGTGACCTATAGAAAAGGCGCCGGACAAACCACGCACGCGCGGCGCGCGCGGTCCCCGTCCCCGTCCCACCGTCCCACCGTCCTGAAGGCTGGCCCGCTTTCTCCGCCAGGTGAAGCCAGCGCCCAACTATTCGCCGCCGGAGTTGGCGGCGATGACCTCGCGCATCTTCTCGTTGATCGACCGGATTGGGCTGGCCGCGCTGAACGTCAGGAGAGGATGGTGTCTGGAGCTGGCCTGGATGGGTGCGGGGGCGAGGTGCAGCTGGGTGGAGGGTCCTGGATGGAGAAGAGAAGAGATGGGTTTTTGAGGTCCAGGACCAACAGGGGCTGCAGGGTGGTTTTTGAACGACCCAAATCGTTTTGAGGTTAGTTGTTTGTCATAAGAGTTAGTGAACCACCCCCTTTGCAGTCCCCTCTTTTACCTCTTTTAGGGGCCGGCCTACATCCCAGCTTGTTTTTGGAGAGAACAGCCCCGCGGGCATCATCTTTGAAGCTAGTGTTTCTCGTGGAATTGGTAGCCATGAGGAAATCATTCGCTTTCGACTGATATCTCTTGGCATCTGGAACCCGGCGGGCCTTCGAGGGCACCAAGCATCCCAACCACTTGCATCGGCCGCATCAGCGCGTGAGGAGCATTCAGAACATGCCAGTACCCTTTTCCTATTTCCATTTGCTGAATATCTTGATCTCCTTGACGGTGCTCGCCACAGGCACTTCTCTTTTTTGGGTGGCGGGAGTGATGCTGGGAATGCCCAGTGGAATGGAACAAGGCAGAGCATCAGGAGTTCTGGTGTTGAAGGTAGAAGAGCTGGCAGAGACTCATACGGTCAGACAAACCAACAGCGTTTGCTTGGGTGGATGGCAATCAACGCCATATGCTGATGAAATCGTTTGCATACCCCAAGCCACCTGAAGCCATTTTTTGCACTTGAGACGCCCTGGCGCCTCTGTTCTTGTGAACACCTTATACGCGCCCCGCCCAGGGGCTCCGTAGCTCCAGCTTCCAGGTATTGGTAGTCTGATTCTGGTGGAGCAGCATGATTCTCCTTCATATTGTTTGGCCTTCTTCCCGCACCGGGGCCCTAACGAGCCAGCGTGACGTGGACGTGGAGAGAGAGAGAGAGAGAGAGAGAGCGAAGCACGCGCCATTGTGTGGTTGGGAGACATCGAATGTGTAGATGGTCCTGAATATGCGGGGCGTGTTCCATACTGGCCATACTTATGCCGTCACATATCCATCCGTTTTGTGTCGGGGCGGGGTGCATCAGCGGACACACAGCGCCTCCGATACCCATCAGCTGAAGTTGCGCAAGACGCTTGAGTCCAGATTGCAATTTATATAACCACTTTTGCGGTGGGACTGTGTTCAATAGGGGCACACACACACATATATATATAATATATATATATATACAGTAATATATATATATATACAGTAATATATATATATATTTTTTTCAGGCGTGTTTTTTTTCCATGTGATGGAGTCAGTGTTTCGCTTGATTTTATGCTATTTCATGTTATTTCATTTGAGGCAGCCCATGGTCGGTATATCCCAAGAGAGTCTTCACCGTTGCTACCTTGCTTTCTTGTGGAGGAACCACCGAAGATCTCCATCGTTGCCTGGTGTCCAAAACCACCATCCCAGTAAAATCTGGTCTTTTACCTCCTTAGGTATTGGCTTTTGTATGACCATCTCCAGTAAAATGACGTCAAACCGACTTATAGACGATCGAATCGAGGTACTCGGTGGTGACCTTCGTCCTACTGGCCTTGCGACAGCTGTCGGGTGAGCTGGCGGACCCTTTTGGACAGGAAACTGGCTGGGCCCGAATAGGAGGAGGATGTCCTAAGCACTGGGAGCATTTGGGAGCCATCTCAGAGGGATTTTCTTTAGATGAGGTCATCCACTGGCCAGCGGAAGGTCCAACAATTAGTCAAAGTCAGGTGATCGAAGGACAGGCCATGTTTTCGAGGAAGGGGTTGGCTGGGTTGCATGGCTCTGGTCAAAGCAATCAAAACATGGCAGAGAGAGAGAGAGAGAGAGCCATCATTGACGTAGAACCTGCGCGTTGGGTCAGTGTCTTCTTCAGCGCCCGCTTGGGGGATGACCGTTGGTAGCAGCATTGGGTGCCCTACATGGCTTTCACCATCCTAGCTAGACTGGCTAGACAAGAAGAAGGTGGCAGTGACGGTGGCCTCTCGGCAGCGCGAGAAGCTCGCGACTCGCGACCCTGCATGGCCCGGCACCTCGCTGTTGCAGGACGACCTGGACTTTCCCATCGCGGCCCCTCGGCGGTCGGACCGAACGCGACCCTCACCACGAACCCATCAACTGCACTTCGGCCGTTGGTGCGATCACATTTATAAAGCACTCGATAGTGGTGGGTGTTCGTCAAATAAACAGGTATCAAAAGAACATCGCCAGCGGAAGACTTGCGGGGTTTGTGTTTATGTTTGCGAGCCTTTGCGGTTTGGGGCGCTGCGGTTTGCGCCTGCCCATTCTTTTGAGGCATGCGCCTTTTCAACATGGGGCAACCCCAAATCCTGAGTGGGAAGTGTACCTGGACCCTGAAAACTGACCTGGACCCTGAAAATCACTGGCTTGTAATTAGAGGAAAACAGTCTATGCTACGGGACGGTACGGGAAAGCGGAAAGGAAGACTGGGTCCATCCACACGTGCCTTGCATATGTCGGCAAATGTGGAACTCCAGGTGCTTGAGGATGACTTGACTCTTTTGGTAAGCATGAACGGAAAAGAAGGTGGTACTTGTATGTAGTTGTTGCATCACCTGGCAATCTTGCTTGGGCTCACTCACTATCATCCGAAATCTTCGGCGGCCATGCCTCAAAACCACTCCAAGCACGAGCAGGGCCCCATGCCCAAAGAAAGCTAGCACTGAGGCACTGAGATCTGTTGGGGTCCAATACAAATCTTGAAGCTCGAGTGTAGCTGTATTGGCTCATTCGGCAGACGCGTGACGCTTCGAAAGCCGAGGACTTCATGCGTCACATCTACGACAACGTTGTGCCTCGGATCGCGCTTGGTCCCACGCCGACCAGGAAGGGGAGTGGTTACTGGAAGGGTTAGAGGCGGAGACTGGTAGAACACAGGTGTCCGATTCAGGGAATGCACAATCCAGTGTCCGGTTTGAGTGTGATCATTTGATCAAGTGGATTCTGATTCTTAAGGGGTGGCAGGGCTCGTGCAGGGTTGATCCTTCGAGCCATTAAAGGCGAGGAGAAGATGAAGCCAAGCAAGCTAGATCAGCCTCGATCAGCTAAACATCATTTGACATCAAGGACCCATTTAGTCCAGACTACAGAGTCCAGCCTACAAAATCAGCCCCTCCAAACTACATGGGTCCCCTCCAAACCGCCTCCAGCCGCCCCGTTTGGGATATCCATCCACCTCGAGGTGGCGATGTTGGCGATGTTCCATCGCTACAACGTTCTGGACTCCTTCAGGCGACCGCCGTCCGTGACCACCGGAACAGGGTGACCAGCGGTGATCCCAACACCCAGTGGGGTTGGGGGTGGGGCCCCCCATGCGCCAGCGTTTCTGCTTGGATACTTGGAGTGGTACTTTTCTAGGTGATGTTTGGTGAGCATTGTCCAAGTGAACCATTCATGTTCAGTGATTAGAAAGGCAGATACTGGCCGAGTTTGGCCAACAAACACATCCACATGTGTCAAAGAGGAGATGTGCTGCTGTGCTGGTTTCTCTCCTCCTTGGACACCGGCCGTCCTACTCGTGGCACTGAGTGACGTCAGATGCTTTTGTTCTCGGCCCTTTGCACCTGAGAAGCCGATGGTGATGCGTGGGATGTGGTCCTGCCGATGGGGACACGTCGCCAAGCACACCCAAATTGCCCCATGGTCCAACCGGGTCCGAGCGGGTGCTTTTCCTTTTTTCACACGCCGTAAATGAGAGGAAGACCACCCTGCCAACCCTCTAACACGGGGCAGTTTGGTTGCAGCCGATTGGGAGATGGCTGGGCCATCGACTGGAGCTTCCAGTCGAGCTGTGAGGGCTCATCTGGGCGTCTTGCTCCATGGACTTCCGAAGCTCTCCGCCTTCGGCAGGTCTGGCAGCAGTGACTTCACGTGCGCGTCCGTAGGGCGGCCGTGCGCGGGGGAGGCCAAGGAGGACCAAACCTTGACGAAGCCACTCGGGCCGCGCGGGCTCGACGCTTTCGGGTCCGATGGGATTGTTCGCCGATGGGCTTCGGTCGTCCTTGGTGTTTGGGACTGGGGGCGTTTTACAAGCAGACACATGGCTCAATGCAGAAACTTGGGGCATTTGGTCGCATCTCTTTCTTTATCGTTCTCTCCATCCTCTCATTCTTCGCGATGCTCACCGGAGCCTCGCCGAAGTCACGGCGCATCGCCTCCTCTTCTCACCCGCCGCGGACCGCTGAGGATCTTGCAGAAGTCCGCCTCACGGCTGCCGGCGCCGAAGTCGCCTGGTGGAGGCCGTGCCTCCATGGGATGGCTTCTCTTGCAGACCGACGACGAGATCTCGGCCTATGGCGGCTTGGTGGTTCCAGTGGAGAACATGAGCCCAAGGGAGCCCGCCAGCTTTGGGGGCAGATTGTTTGGTGGTTTGCTTCATTTGTGCTTGTTTTTCTTTATGAAGTGGCCGGGATTTGCTACCAAGAGTCCTGATATGTTGCTAGTTTAAAGGACTCTGTGGTGCTTGGAAGGAACTTACATAGGACATCTTAGGGCTTCCAAGCGGCTTTTGGCAGTTTCCCCGCTTCGCAGTTGATCCAAGGCCCACGAAACTGGGTGAAGCCCGAGGACGCGCAGAACCCCTGTTTTCCTCATCTGACCGATGCAACGGGGAACCCCTCCTCAGCAGAATTTGAGTGGTCCAGGATGATTCTAGTTGGCACGCGGATCTGTTCTTGGGGGGGGTGACCTCTCGCTGCTACTCACACGCTGCTCCTCCTGGTCATTCAGACCAGACGAGCGGGTGAGCGGACTAGGGGATCGATGACGAACTAGGCCCCCCCCCTTCAGAATTCTTCAGACACGAAGATCAGGTCTAGACAACCAGGAACCCAATAGATCAGGCTGCATCTCCATCTATTTGGTGGTCCCCAAATAAATGGACAAGTAACCTACTGAACATGTATTGGAAGCCAACCACCCGCCCCAGCAGATCCATGTATGACAGGACTTCAAAGGCGCTGCCAAGCTGATCCGCTGGCTCGAAAGCGGGGCGCCGTCCCGTTTCGCCCGTTGCGGTGCCGTCCCGTGGGCCGGGGCGTGACGGGGCGTGACCAAGGGTTCCTTGTGAAGGCCATGATTTGGAGGTCTCTTTCCTCAGGGAGGGCGAGGCGTCGATTGCTTGCTAGCTGTTTGAGTTCAAAAAGGGGCACAAAGGGTCAATGGAATCAGGAAGTGGTCGTTTTGGTTGAGTTTTGAGGATTTGGAGGGGATAGAGATCTGTTGATTCCTCCTCACGATCTTGATTCAATTCTCATCCTCCGACTTCCAGTGAGCTCCACCGTGGCGCAATGAATATCCCATCGTTGGCACCTGGATTGGTGGCTTGAAAGAGGTGGGCCTCCCACGGTGGAACGGCACCAATCACAGAGAGAGCCTATTGGAGCAGGCAAAGAACACCAAAGAACATCAAAGAACATGGAACTTTCTTTGGGAATGATGTAGGTTCTATTCGCTGTCCTTGGTTTCGGTACCTTCCGCTGAGGCGGAGACGAGCCCAAAGCCAGGATGATCGGGGTCTCTATGGAGGCCCGCGGCAGGGCAGACCAAAGCCTGAGAACTGGTCCTTCATGGTCCTGTCACCTTGGAGACTGAAGATAGACATGAACAGAGCTTCATACGACTATATACATGCACATATACATATCCCAGCACCACCCAAAGAGTGGTTTATAGACCCCCCTGAATGGTGCTGGTCATGCATTATTAACTTGGATGCTAAATGTTCACTTACAGTCGTTGCCCAAACAGGCTCCACGTCCGTAATCCTCCGTCGAGCGCTCGTCGGAGGATGAGGAGAATGCGCCACTGAAGGATGCACCGCTGAAGGATGATGCACCAAACAAGGCGAAAGAAGAGCCCCCAGCTAAGCCAAAGGAGTTGCCGAAGGCGGTCGGGAAGGCGGTTGGGGTGGAGGGAGGGTGAGAAATATATATACTGGGAGATAGTAATAGATGATCACAGATCACCTAACCATGCCCACTTGTAATTCCCTACGTTCGGAACTGCTGCGATCGAGAATGCGATCCCTCCCTCTCTCTCGTCTCTCTATAGCCTTCGCTCGGCGTAGCCTTCGCTCGGCGTCTTTCGGCCGAGTGAAGCGGAAGTAACTGGTCACCCGTAGAGCCCGGGTCACCCGTAGAGCCCAGGGCTTGGTGTCCACGGCCACTGTGGCCCGTGCCCGAAGCAGCTGGACGGTGTGGTTGCCGTAAGACGCATCAACCGTGTGGCGCTTCGAGAAGGTAGGTGGCTCCAAAGCATTAGCACCCTTTTCAGAGATGGCATGTGGAGCCCCAGGCAGGCTCCAAAGACTAGATGTGCCAAACGCGCGCCAGAGACAGGTTTCTCTTCCGGGTCCTCGGTGTGGCTGCTTTTTACCCTCTGACGAACGCGTCGTGGATGGAAGTGGATGGCTTGTTTTTGTTTGGAAGACGACTTTCCTTTACGAACAGGAGGTTTTGCACGTCCGGATGCTGGTCCAGAGTGGTTCCCCTCACTCCAGGACTCGTGTGCCGAGTCGCTGCAGCGCATTGAGAAGCAGATGGCGCAGCTGATTAGCTGCATGTCTGAGGTGGCTGCAAGCCTCAAGGAGCCAAGGGCTGAATGGAGCCCAGGGGCTGAGAAAAGGAACATCTACTGTAGCAGAGTCGTTTACCATTCCAAGAAGCTCCTTGCAGGCATTTTTCAAATAGCTCCTCTGGAAGGATGTCCAAATGTGAGAAGAGCATGAACGATGAACACCAGCATCAAGTTACTTTGCCTTGGCTAGGTCCATGTGGTTGGCCATGCATGACCCCCAACGAGATCAGTGGAGTACATATTATCTTTATATGATTTCTAGGGTCATATAGGGTCATCTGTATAGACAATATTTATTACACATGCCAACGCCTATGAGACCCTTTTTCCACCCCACCTGTGTGCCTCGGGGAAGGCCGGCGCGATGGTCGCATGCAGCTCTTGCAGCTCTTCGCCGGTCCGCCCTAAAACACGAATGTTCCACTCCCAAGGATGGTCGTTATAGGCAGCGGTAAGCCAACACAAAGGCCGTCCGTTTGGGGCACGGAGAACGACCCGGTTTCAAGGAGAGCTCTGGATCGGAGAGGAGGACCAAGGTGTGGATCGGCGCCGGTGGATCTGATCGGGTGTGTGGCCCATTCGTTCGGGAACGACTGAACGATGGGGAGGGTGCCGGGGGTGTGTCAGAGGGTGGGAGGACTGGAAACCAGATCTTTAGGAAGAAACAACGTGGGCCAATAGACACGGTTGAGGAAGGATGACATGGAAATCCTTCACTGGTATCGACACGGCACTAGCTGCTCCTTTCCAAGACTCAGGCCTCTAGGACTTCTCGGTAATGGGGAGTGCTTCCCAAGAATTTAATAGGATTGGGGGGGTGAACATGATTATACAAATTACTTAAGGTTTCAAAGTTGGGGGCATCAATTTGAGACAGGGAGATCAAAGGCCATGAGCACTGCAGAGCAAAGTAGGATCAAATCAATTGTATGGTTATCATTATCCTTGAAATCCATCGCCTGTTCTTCGAACACTGTAGAAGTTAGGAGTTCTGAGACGCTTGTCCTAACGGATCTAGCTGGCATTGTGTCAAGCTTCGGCTTGGACAAGTTTGGCACAAACAGTGGCAGCTGGTTCTGCCCCGAGCAGGATTACCAAGGATATTCACCCAATAGGTGCACCGGATCTTCATCCGCCTCCTTTGGACGCATTGGACGCAACAGCCTCCATCCGACGTTGCCCCCCCTCCCTCCGGACAGGAGCGCACGAGGGAAGGGAGGGAGGCCACCGAGAAGGCCACCGAGAGGTCGGAGAAGTCCGTGCAAAAGAGAACCAAGAAGACGGAGGTGGGTTGGACGGGTTGGACCAGAGACGCCGAACGCGGGGGCTTTTGATGGTCATCCGTTTGGGGGTGGGCCAGCGGGCCAGTGCACCAGCGTGCTGGTATGGGAGAGGTGACGGGGGTTGGGGGGGAAATGACCCGCGATCCTCAAAGGCGGGCGATGAGTCCCAGCATCCTAGAATCCCACTGAATTCTGGTCATGTGTGAGAGGATTTGCCCCGAAGGGTACGTTGGATCGCAGGAGGTCGGTGTTTGAGGACGCCAGCACGGCATGGGCATGGCGCCTTTTTTTTTTCTCAGCGGGACGCGAAATCCCTTCCAGGATGGCCAGACCAACCTGCCAAAACCTGTACTGTGACTATTGTCGGTTGCGTCCCAGTAGCCAGTAACAGCAGGAAGGGAAAACACTTGTCACTATTTGGGGTGAAAGGCCTTTGTTGACCCATCATCCACGCTTACTGGTAGTGGGATGTACCCAAAGTGCCACCGATTACGATCAGCTAGGGCTCTCGGCGATTACGATAGCTCAGCTTTTGATGCCATCCGAGCGTGGGCATGGGTAAGAACAGGTTAGAACAGCTGCGGGTACGAGTCAAACATCCATGGACCGGACAAGCGGAGCAGTTTTTTCTCGGATAAGTCATTGGTCCAGTACCTGCGTTGATGAGACTTTTGCCTCCCCAGTCTGGGACCATCCAAGAAGATGCACCAGTGAACCCATCACGGCAAGGCAGGCTGCCTGCAAAACATGGGAGCCAACCTGGGACTTTTGATCTCGATCCTCTTCAGATACAAGAGTTGGCACTTTGGAAGCTCATCTTCGGCTGGCTCATGTTAGACCGGGATAGCAGTCGAGGGTCGCCATGTGTTGGAACTTGGAGTCGGGTCCATGGTCGCCATGCATTGGATGTGAAAGCGTTGGCAGGAGAAGGAGAGGCCTGAGGAATGAGAGTACCTTTGGTCTCATGAGAGCTGATCCTTGAAAAGGATGTTGCTAATGTCTTAATGCGCTTCCCGCGCTGGCTGGAGTCCGATGTCGCTCCACGAGAGCGAAGGAGTCGCTCAGTCAGCCCCCAGGAAGGTGCTATTTTGAAGGGAGGAGACTCCAACGAAGGGGACTCCATGGATCCAGGACAAGCCATGAAGCATGATTCGTCATTCTTGGTGTAGGAGCTCATCGACGCTCTGGAGCTGGGTGGTGGTTGATTCTTTTTGACGTTCTAAATGACTGTATCTGTCTTTTTCAGAAATGCTCATCCCAAGTTGAATCCCAAGTGACAAATCCTTTGAGGATGTGTTCAGTCACCAACCAGGAATGTTTGGCTTGTCATTCTTCATCATTCTGCTGTCGATGTAAGACATCCGCAGCTGGACTACCGGAACATCATTGAAATCATCTACTAATATATATAATATATATATATAGCTTCCATTGTTTCCTCTTATTGGGGTGGAAAGTTGGGGCTAGGAGGCTCCATGAGCGTGTAAGATGACAAGACAGATCTTGACCGCACACAGAAGTGCGGTGTTTTTCTCCGCTTTTGGAGCCGCACGAGTTTCTTCACTTGAAGGTCTTGAGATGTCTTCAGGCTTGCCTTTTTCAGGGTCGACACTGCCCCATCCAGGTCTCACCGCGCATCACGGGTGCCCGTGATGCGCGGGGAGTTGTACGAGCCGCCGGAATGGATTCGTTGAAAAAGGGCGGTGGCGCGCGTCCCCCTGGTGCCCTGAAAGGAAAAGTGTGGAGAACCCAAAAGGAGTCGAAAGGAAATGCAACACCTCAGCCTCAGAGATGCAACAACAGAAAAGGAGTGTTCAAAAGTATGTGTGGAAACCTCAAGAAGAGACCTTTCGGCAGCTTTTAAACCATAACATCGCTTGGGTCCTTCTCCCCACCACTTTCGCCCAACCGGCTGTTTGCCGGTTCAGGGTGTGCGTTCGACGACTGGCGAGCCTTTGGACGGACTGCCACTCTAAGAGGGTGAGGTACTTATAGACAGAAGGTGAAGAAAGAGACCCTCCCAGCAGTCACATGTCGGGGTGGTTTGGTTCGTCCCATCCAGTAAGTGGATCATAGGCACCCCTATCCTCCAAGTTCGGCACCCCTTTGTGACTGCTGGTCCCTGCAACAATCATGGAAGTGGGCAACCGCCTCTTGAAGAGGATGTCATCGTCTTCCTTTCGGGGGCCACGTAACCGATGTAACCATGATTGTTTCAGGGAGTGTAACAGCAGTAGACTGTTGATGAATCTCCCCGCCCATTGCCAGGTTGGTTTTATATCTCCATATTGGGAGTTTTATTCAACACAGTCAATATTAGAACAACCAAGAATCTTCCAATTTTTTTTTTTTAATTTGAGGTCATTTTGTTTTTGGGCTTTCTTGTTCTGTGAGGTCTTGGGGATTTGTTGATTCTTGTGTATAAGATAAACCATCCAAGCCCATTGACAGTGAGGCTTGGCAAAAGAGAGAGAGAGAGAGAGTTTCTGAGACCTTTTTTGGAACAGCAACATGAAACATCCCACATGTCCTGTCTATGCCCAGGGTGCTGGGCTACTTGTTCAAACATTCTGCCGAACATTCGGAATTTGCATGCCGCATAGCCTAATTGTACGACGACGACGACAACTACTACTACTGCTGCTGCTGCTGCTACTGCTACTGCTACTGCTCCTGCTCCTGCTCCTGCTCCTGCTGCTGCTGCTGCTACTGCTACTGCTACTGCTACTGCTACTGCGACTACTACTGCTGCTACTACTACTGCTACTACTACTGCTACTACTACTACTACTCCTGCTGCTACTACTACGGTGGGTCAACACTACTGCTGCTGCTACCACCACCACCACCACGACGACGACGACGACGACTACTACTACTACTAGTAGGGCTAGTGCTACTACTAAAATTAAAATATCATAGCCGTGCTTTACAACACACAGTTTTCTGCCACCCTACTTTGCCAAGCTTAGCTGCCAAGGCTTTGTTGTTGGCGACGTTGCCAATGCTTTTGCTGGCTTGCAATAGCTCTACCCTAGCTGTGCCCACCACTTTGCCACCCTACTTTGCCACCACGTTTGCCAACTTTCAATGTTTTTACTCTACCTTGCCAAGCACTCTTGCCACCCTACTTTGCCACCATTTTTGCTGGCTTTCAGTGGTTTTGCTTTGTGCCACTCTACCTTGCCAGGCGTTCTCGCCAGTCTACCTTGACACCTCTTGTCCATGCCGCTCTACCTTGCCAAGCGTTCTTGACACCCTACTTTGTCACTATTTTGCTGGCTTTCAAGGATTTCGCTTTGTGCCCCCTCACCTTGCCAAGCATTCTTGCCACCCTACTTTGCCAGCCTTCCATGAGCTTCAACGTTCCCGCCCTACATTGCCACGTATTCTTGCCAGCCCTCCACGTGGTGAAAACCCTACGAGTGTTAACCTGACTAAGCCGTAATCAAGTTACAACCCATACACTCCATGGGACTGCCATATATGCCTACATTGACCCCGCAAAACCACCCCTGGCCTGATCGGCAGTCCTATGGCACACATGGAGTGTCTGGGTCAGATGTTATATAGGGTTGTAAGATGGGCGTCCTCGGACGCTCACCACGCTCGGACGCAGTTGCGAGTGCTCCGCAGCGTGGCCTGTGGGTCTGGGGGCCCAGAGGGAGAAGGGACGAGAGGTCGTCCAAACTGAACACATTCGACCCTCCATGAGACTGCCATATATGCCGATCAGTTGGGGTGAGACAACCTACTAGCCAAAAGGCTCCATGATAGTGCGGACTGCCGAGAAACGGCCAGGGGTGGTTGACTGGGGGTCTTTCTGGGGCGGCGTATATGGCAGTCCCATGGGTCGTGTCTGGGATTGGCGGATTCGAGTCATCATCGCAGTGGGTCCTTGATTGGCCTGAAGCCTCCAAGTTGGACTTCATTGTTACCCCCGAACTGGTGGTGGATGACTTCCAGGTGGATCTAAAACGAGTCATTGGACGTTCGGGGCTTGGGATCCCTTGGCCACCCTTCTGGTGCCTGTCATCCAGCACCGCGGCCGGCCACCGGACTCGCCACACGTCGCTAAGGTCTCAGCATTCCGCCTTAATCACTCAGGCTGGGACCTCCACTGCCACGTTCAAAGAGATCCTAGAACCAAGTTTGCTGTTTAGAAGATTTGCTTGCACGGTTTTAAAGTCTATAGCACTTACTTGCTCGCTTGCTTGATGGAGTTTCGGCATTGGCGTTGTACACCCCTATGGAGTATATGATTCTGAAGGCACCCGGAGTCTGTAGCATATCGAGTCAGGAGCGACTGACCCACCGTCCAGATCTCTCCGTCAGGCGCGACTGTCCTTCTTCCTAAGCTTTTTGGCTCTGCAGGATGGGCGCCTCCTCACCTTCGGTACTGGTTGGTTTGGCCGCTTGGGCAACGGCGCCCGGCAGCCCAGCAGCACGGCCCTGTGGACCCCAAAACACATGTTCAAATGCCCAGGTGACGGTGGTGACGGCCCTGTGCTGGTTTGGTTTAAGCATTGAACTAAGCCCTTTTCGATGATCCAACATGTTTCAACACCCCGAAAGACAATTAGGGCCGTTCACAGGTTGGGTTGTGGTCTGAAGAATCCTTTGAGAAGGAGTGTTGGCCATGGCCATGGCTCATTTGTTGTCAGACCTGCACCCTGAATGTGGGGACATGCCATTTCTAGTTATGAACCCTCAGGGTTCATCAGGGTAGTAAACTAGGTCTCGATCGTTTCTCGATGGTGATATACTCAGGCTCATTGCTTTCCACCCTTCCGGCTCCCAGACGTGGATCTCACGGAGGTTTATGTTCCATCCTTCACAATCCTTCACAGGAGAAGGACAACGAGTACATGCCAAAGTTGGAACCAGCCTCAGCGCACGGTCACCAGCGATTTGCGGACTGCCTGTGCGAAGAAACACACGATCAATCAGAAACGGTAGGGATGAGTCTAATGAGTCTAGTCTTCTCATAAGCCCGAACTGCATACCAGTGAACAATGCAAGAAGTTTGCTACACCCGTTCTGGTGGGTTTTGGATATGCACTTGAATCTCTAGTGGAGGGTCTTCAGACTCTAGACACTAAGACTAAATCCATCCAGATCGTTCTTGAGATGGTGGATAAAAACATTTGTAGCCCCCCAGTCAAGCTTTCCTGAAACGCTCATACCCCCCCTCGCACGTTCGTCCCGAGCCGAGCCTCGCCTCACCATGGAGCCGTCCCATCCCGTCCCCCAATCTCCGCCGAGGTAGACCTCGCAAGCCAGGTGAAGGAGGTGCACTGCGCCACGCCAGGGGCGCTCAGAAGTGGTTTCCCGGTCCGAGCGTCTTCTCGGACGGTCCGCCATCCGTCGACGGTGGGGTCGATGGGGTGGAGGTGGCCGGCGTGGTCAGCGGTGGGGCTGGTGGTTCTTTTCGATGTGGAGGGGATTTGGGGCGACCGAACATGAGAGGCTGCAAAAGGAAGGGCGTGGGTAGTGTAGTAGTGCACATCCTTTCAACTCTGGGACTAGGCACTAATTAAGGCAAGGTCGTTTTAGGACTGCGGGGGCGGGCGAGAACTCCCAGCAGCACAACCTTGTCATGGAACATGAGCCTTACCAAGATTGATCCGTTCCATGAGCCTTACCAAGATTGATCCACTTGGTCTTCTGCATCTCAGGGGCACCTATGATCTATTCCTGTTTTGGTGTTGGGGATGTCGGGGGGTTGCCCCTACCCTAAGTACAGAAACAGTTGTCATCAGTTATCTGTCATCAACCACTCTTGCTTGCCGTGCCCGCTTTTCATCAGACTCTGCCTTCTCCCGGTGTTCAGCTCGGCCCCCGCGAGAAGGGTGCCTGCAAGGCTGTGCCAGCTCTGCATGCTTGGAACCCTTCGGGTGGTTCGACTCCGCTCCTGGGACGCGTCGTCGTCGGGCCCTGAAAACCTGAGGTCCTTGGGTAGAGAAGCATGGCAGGAGGTCCCTTCTTCCGCTCCACCCGAAGAAGACCCCCTGAGACCCGCGACCGAGCAAGGGCCCCAGACACGGACCGCCCAGGTATCACACGTGCATCGTGGACTCGTCGGATCGCCTGTGGGTCCGGTAGACCCCAGCCGAGGAGGGGAGGAGGAAAGGGGCAGTGACAGTGCATTGGGCTTTGGTTCAATTGATGTTTGTTTAACATGTTTCCCTATGAGGGACATGAGTGGATCCCCTTCTTCACCCCCCCAAAAGAATGTTTGGCACGGTTCCTGGACAGCAAATCCGACATATTCTCTCTTCTGGCTTTTTGTGTGCACCGGCCCTAATGAAGGGCTTGGAGAAGAAGTGACCAAGCTCCAGACCTTACGCACCAGTTCGAAAGGTTTCATATGTTGCTTTTTCGGGCGCTTCGAGAACGAGATGAGCGTCCGACTTTGTTGACAGATTGCCGTGCCGCCGGTGCCACCGGCCTCCGAAAACCCCTGCCTTTCTCACCTTTTCAGGGCAGGACCCGGTGGATCAGGTGACCCATCAGTCGCCCTCATGTTCCTGCTTGGGGTTTGGAATTCCGACACTCTGATCATGATCTTTATACAAGTCGGGGGAGCGGAACCTGCACCCATGAGCTTCATCAGAACCGCATGGGTGGTCGTTTTGGGACCTGCTTTTTGAAGGCCTGGATGATGAATGACGTCCTTTGGCAGGCATGGAAGATAAAACAGCACCCCTTGGTTGTCCGATGGGTGCCCTGCCTCAGGTCTGTGGTCGGGATTCTTCGCTATGCCGAGATGGGCAAAACCACGTGCCAGGTGGCTCAGAAGGTTGGACCGAACCAGACTGAGAAGGGTACCGAAAAAGGAGCGGCAAGGGCAACCGAGCGGCCCAAGCTGGAAGAAGAATCCAGCAGGCTCGTGGCTTTGGCGTTAACTTTTCTCACGAAATCCATAGGAGCAAAGGGCATCGCTACGAACGGAGCAAGGACGCTACTAGTAGCTCCTTGCATTTCTACTAGGAGCAAAAAGCTACGCAAACTTGGGAAGCTCTTGAAGCCCGCAGTGGCCGGCCGGTCTCGTTTGTTGACTCGCACGTTGACTCGTCCGTCTCCGCTCCCTCCGCCGAGGTATCGGCCGATCCTGTTTGAGCCCTTCAACCAGCCGGGCGCGGCGCGGGGCGTCCGCTCGCCGGGAAGCAGAGTGACAGGTGTGGCAGGAGTGACCTCGCCTGACAGGAAGCCTTATGCAGGAGTGACCTTGGGTGATGTTGGGGTCCAGCAAGAGGAGGAGCAGATCCAGTGAAGGTCCAATGGGGTCTTCTTTGTTCGGATGACATCGCATGGAAACTTTGGACTAGGGCGTCGAAGCGGAAAGTCGAGTCGGGTGTCAACAGGTCTCGACCCCTCGAAAGCCTTTGGAGTCCGGGTGTTTTTCTTCCGACCGCATTCTGCCCACCAGTTGCTGAAAAGGACAACCCCCCCCCGAAAGCCTGACGTCCTCTTTCTCTTTGGCACTGGAAGCAAGAGAGCTATGCTCTGCGAGGGGCAAGCAAAAGATCAGACCACCACACGAAAGATGGTAATTGGATGAGCAACGCATGGTCAGGGGGCTTATCAACCACTCAAAACTGAGTGGTGCTGGGATCATGTTGTTTGGGGTAAACCGCGTTCGATGTTTTATCATTTGAGGTTAGCAACCGTCGAGCAGCACACCCTGGTGGCAGCCTACCCGATGTGTCTTGGAGTAGTTTCATCCTGCGTGTGTTTTTCTTATAAGATGAGGCTCTTGGGTACGCGGAACGAAGTGGGAAAACAATGGAACACATGGGCTCCTGGGAAATAACATGAGAATAACACCCGGAAGATCCGGAAGGCCATCTTCCCTTCATTTTTCATGTTCCATCAATTTTTCATCCTCAATTTCCTCTGTAATAAAAATCGGGGGGTCCACCCTCACCCCAAGAACGTTTTAGGGTCTCCCTCTTGGGAGATGTCAGGGGGTCATTTTACAGAGAAAACGTGGGAGACATGTCAGATTTTGTGCGCTTGCCGTTGCCTCCATTGTGGCACCTCATGAGAAAAGGCATCTAAAATATTCTAAAATTATATATAAAGGGGTAGTCAAATTATGTCAAATTAGGATTTGTGCGTGAACGTTGGTACCTTCAAATTAGACGACCTGTGAGCGTTGGGAGCGCCGCTTTACATCTCTATCCGGACGCCCCTGTGGAAACAGACACGGGGATCATTTTTCTGAGCTTCTTCAAGAGGACCCGGTGGTGTGGATTTCCAGTTGGCCAGCTGGGGTGTTGCTTGCGCACAGATGGATCATGATGGGATCACCAATCCACCCCAACATCATCCCCCAAATCCGCCCAAATGGCCCAACATCTATCAAAATCCCAGTTCTCTCGGATCATCCAGGAATCCTCTCAAATCCTCTCAATCCATTTCGTGAAGGGGATTTGGGTCAAGAACAGCCTGCCAGGTCGAAGCCAGAGACGGTGGAGCTTTGGGTCTGGGGTACGCTGGTGGGTTTTCTCGGTGCCGGGAGGTATGGGAGGGCAAGGGGAAGGACACGGAACAGGGTTAGGCCAGAAACGCCAGGGTCCGGTTTGGAGGATGGTTTCTACTTTCTACCAGTTTTTTTTGGTTTTCCGGAGGCCACGGCATGTTGATGCTATGCTGCCGGTGTGTGAGAAGATGCCTCTTTTTTTTGGGTTTCGTTGATCCACGGATGATTCTGTTGCGGCTTCCGGGCGTTGAGACGGCCGTGGAGCAAGATCAAGCGGAGGCGTAGTAGTATGTGTAAGGTTGAAGGCACCAACCACGAGATTGGGGCCAGGCAGGGGGGTCTCTACATGTCTCTCCCTCTTCCGGCGAAACAGTGTTTGGAGCTTGGCGACTCTGGGAGAAGTAAACCTCTGGTCAGCTTTTTCGTTGATTGGTGAGGGCTTACGATGTCTTTAGCATACACTTACCCACGTGTCCACCATAGGTGATGCAATGGCTTTATAGTGATAACATGTGATAGAGTTGGTCTTTGGTGCACTATCAGGCCCTCTGGATCTTAGCAATCACCGGCGAATCACCGGCCCCTCTTTTCGGAGGAATCTTGCCATCTGCTGTTGGATCATCGGTCATCATACAATAGGATCATATAGGTTTTATGGCATTTTGTTTTACGGGAAGAGGCGTAGATTGATTGCCGTTGGATTAGCCATCCACAAGAAGCGGAAGTCCATCGGGGCGTGTGTGCCTTCGGACATTTCATCTCAAGAAGCGAGAGTGCACGACTACAACCATGGAACCATGCCACAGTCAGAGTGATTGCAAAAAGCTACCTCATCCTTCCTTGCCTTGGTTCTTCGGGCTCACTTCAAATGAATGAGCCCAGAAGCAGCTTGCGCTGACCCCTCTCAGATCCATCAGCCAGAAGAGCTGCAGCAATCCCCATCAATCGCACCACCTTTGCCTCCTTTTCGAAGCCATGGCGTTGTTCTCTCCCGCCTCACCTGGCTGGCGCGCCCACCACGCACCCAGCGACACGCGCCCCTGCGACCGGGCTGGAAGTGCGCCCCGCGCCAGGCGTGGCGTAAGGCGGCCATGCCGCACAGCGCAGGTGGGCTTGGGCCTTTCTGCGTTGGCCGTGGCCCACCGGCGTGGCGCGCGTGGCCGCGTTCGCGTGCCCACGCGGCAGTGGAGCGTGGCACGGAGGGCGGAAGAGGTGGACTTGGATCTGCCGGAGCTGGAGTTGGAGCCCGGGGTCTTGTCAGAGGCACCCGAGATGACCTTCATGATTGACGCTTGGAGTCCGTGCTGTTGGTCCCGCAACTGCGTGCCCACATGGTGTTTGCATGTTTTTGCTGCAAAGGTTCTTGGCCATCCCAAATCCTTGCATCACTGGATTTGACGATGGCGGAAGTTGTGGTTGAAGGATGTTGAAGGCACCAAGACCAACAACAAAAAACATGTAATACATATATATATATATATATGTGATCACATATACGCATATCCACACCTCTCAAGATCACATGTAGACGACATGTGGCTGAGGAAGAGATCCCTTCCAGAAGTAGCTCCTCGTTGATCATTCATCACCGATTGGGCTCGGAGTCCCAAGTGCCTGCGATCTTGAAGCTGGTGGAAGAGTACCTCCCGAAGTTTGATGTCCCTTGGGCCCGGTCGAAGAAGAACGCACTGTCGGAGCACCTCGTGTCGGGCATGTCGTGTCGGGTTTGCGATCGTCTTCGAACGCACTGTGTGGAGCTGGCCTTGGGGACACCGCGTGAAGGTTCGGCCATGAGCGGTCGATGACGCTTCCGGTCGTGCCATGCCATCAAGGGTGAAGAGCAAGGCGACCCGGGCGGCCCTAGCAGGCAGGACAAGTAGATGAACTACTACTAGACAAGACGACGAGTTCTCTCACTATACGTTGAGCTCACTCAACGTATGCTCTCACTTTAAGTGGACCTACTTTGAATACAGGTGAATACCTTATCACCTTCCCGTCGCTAGACGCTTTGCTGGTCGCGCCTGACCAGCACTTGCTTCGTCCAACAAATGCAAAAAGGATCCTCGATTTAATCATGTTACAGTATTTGACCCCAAGATGTGTTTTTTTCTCCCACGCTGCTCGATCAATTACATATTTTGCCAAGGGCGCGATCTGGTGCAGGATCTGGTGCCACTTTCGGTGAACTAGCTTGGCACCAGCTTGGGGGGACCGACGCGGCAAGGTCTACAACTGCGCCACAGCGCTGCACAAGTGTGGGCTCCAAGCAAGGGACAATGAGCTCGCAGCACGCCAGATCCAATCTGATCCCAACTTCATCCGCCTCTTTGCAGACGCTTGGCGGTGGTCAGATCAGGCGGTGGTCAGCGGCACATGCTACGGCTGGGGGACACAAAGGTTGGGATTGGTAGACCCAGGAATATCGGCACTCGCTGTCACGAGCATAGCAACATTACTTGGATGATCGCCCATAGAAATAGAACACAGGTGTCGGACTGTTTGGGGCCATCGTCAGTAGGAAGTTGTCTGGGAGGGTTGCTCACGTGGGGACAGGCAGCCTTTGGATGCCTTTGCCACCCTCCACATCTTCAGAGCACCGCCTGCCCACACATCTGTCAACGAGCTGAGGTAGCTGCCAGTCCTACAACTTCCAGTCTCACAGTGTATTACAGCTTCCCCTTCCAAAGCTACAGATTTCATGGGTCAGTACTAAGTACCCCTTGGAATGAAGTCCCCGAAGCTCACGGAGGGTGCTGGCGTGGGGTCTCCACCCATCTGCCACTCTACCCAGACACTGGCAAGCTGCTCAGTTCGTGGCATGACCTTGAACCAAAATCTCCCTCAGATCAACAGCGCTTTCCGAATTTCAAGGCAGCCAAGAAGAAGACCTTGAGGCGAGTGGCCGACTTGGAGGCGACCACCTTGGCGACCATCCTTTGGTGCACTGGTTGCAAGGGCTGGAGGGAGGGAGCAGGAGGGAACAGAAGTGAACTTGCTTTGACCATCAAATCATCCTGAGGCCTATTGAGTCCCATTCTTCCCATAAAGCCTCTTAGAGAATATCAGCGACTTAGTTGCGAGTTGAGATTATGACTTGGGGGCCTTCTCGACCTGAGATAGCTTTTGTGGGCCACCATTCTTGGAGCTTGGTGAGGCCCCGTTCAGCTCATAGATGCAACCTGGTTCAAGCTCCAATGGTCCTCGTGATACGTCTCAGGTCTTGCGCCCGCCTGAACATCGTCGACAGCGAGCTCACCTCAGCCATCACGACGGATGCGACCACCCGGATGAACCACTACTCCACGAACCCTGGATTTGCTCCAGATGATCTTTCTGTTGGCCCGAACTGGTTCAATCCCCAAACCTGGTGAATATATTGTTCTGGGATACAGGCGGAAGAAAGTGGCATGCTGCAGGTTGCTGCCAACATTTTTGCGTGACTGGAGTGACTTCTGGAGTTGATCTATTTTTCCCCGGTGCCTGGACAGCAAATCGCAGGAACTCCATTGGGATCTTGATGTTCTCCTTGGGCTTCTCGGGCGTGCGTCCCCGGCCGAGCCTGCAAAAGGCACGTGGAGCAGTGAATGGCTTGGAGCAGGGCGGGGTAGCAGGGTGGAGCCAGGTGGGGCAAGTGTAGATCTTGGTCGATGTAATGAATGCCAAAAGATGCTGATTAGCTTGCTCACTTGGATCATCAACCATCTGCATGTCTTGCAGCTCAAGATTACGAAAGCCAGCCTTCGTAGAAGGCGCTAGCGGAGTTGTGTCTGGCGAACGAAGTGAGTAGTTAGGGGGTCTGGGGGGGTGGCCCGAGAAAGGTACACGTCAACTCGGCACATGCTGGGGGAGGAGGGTGCTCCGAGGGAAGGTTTTTTGAGGTTGTGTTGGAGGTGATTTTTGAGGGGTGGTGATGCAAGAAATGCCAAATGCATCATTTGCATCATCTGAATGGAAAGTTGTAGTTGGCACCTTGCAAGGTATAGAGACCTAGGGTAGCCATTGTGCAGCTGCCAGGTATAGTACTTCAAGTTGCCTTTCCATCAACCGCTTGAGAACCTCTACACACGCACAGCAATCCACAGCTTTGAAGTCTCATTCGTGCTTTGAACTTGTATAGGTGTGTAAGAGGTATAGCAACATAGTATTTATACGGACCCAGGGTAGCTACAAGTAGCTACAGTTCTGTTCCCGGGTATGGCGCGCATGAGGCTTCAAAGCAGTGGTTTTCAAGCTAAATTCAAGGTGGCCTGAGACCAGGGTTTGCTGCCCTAAAACACTCTGTTCAGGCCACCTTGAAAATAAAGGTGTAGTTGGCACCTTGCCAGGTATAGAGACCCAGGGTAGCTATGTAGCTGTGGTTTTCAAGCTAAATTCAAGGTGGCCTGAGACCACGGTTTGCTGCCCTAAAACACTCTGTTCAGGCCACCTTGAAAATAACGGTGTAGTTGGCACCTTGCTAGGTATAGAGACCCAGGGTAGCTATAGTGCAGCTACCAGGTATAGTACTTCAAGTTCCCTTTCCGTCAACCGCTCGATAGCCTCTACACACGCACAGCAATCCACAGCTTTGAAGTCTCATTCGTGCTTTGAACTTGTGTAGGTGTGTAAGAGGTATAGCAACATAGTATTTATACGGACCCAGGCTAGCTTCAGAAGAGCACTCCGATACTTCACTTACAGCACTCCTTGAAGAGCATGAGTCGCTTGCGCATAGCCACCAGAAACAAAGGATCTTAGTCTTACTGGAAGTGGAATGAAACACCAGGACCTTCAGAATGACCTCTTTGGAGTCTCCAAGTGACCTCATTCGGGACTAAGTGACTAAGTGACCTCATTCTGGGATCTCGGACGGTCACTTTGAAGGTCCTGGTAGACACCAAATGATGTCAATGTGGATAGATTTGGCTACGGCCTAAAACATCGGATTCCATCCAAACCCCCCCCTGTGCAGAGGAAAAATCCGGGCAAAATGACACCGAACCCCTCAATTGCCAGGAAGCGCAGGTTTTTGTTTTGACATGGTTACCTCTGTGTGGGCAGAACAAGACATGAAGCAGATTTGACACGCGGCCGCAAGCAGCTGCGCGAGCTCATTTGCTTGCTTCGACGCGCAGTTGTCGAGAAAGGGAAGCGCTGGCTTTCGTTTTGCAGTTTCTCAGGTGTTCATCTTGGATCCACCCATTTGGGTTTCTCCACCTTCCAGGCCTTGTTGACGGAGCTCCAGGGCCGCCAGGACTTCGACACGGAGTCGCTTCTGCTCATCGTCTATGCCTGCATGCGCCTGGGGATCCGGGACCGGCGCATTATGGAGGTGGGAACCGTGGCCGTCGCACTCTCCGGACCGGGCCCGGTCCGAGACGAGTGGGCCATGGGGTGGTGGAGTGCATTCGGACCATGGAGGCTAGGCCAGAAGTGATGTTTCCAGCGGCGGGTGGGGCCTTCCCCTGCAGGGTGGGGATCGGTGAGGCGATGAGCTTTGGCAAGGGCTAGGTGGCAAGACAATTCAGACAAAGATCCCTTTTGGAATGACAAAGAAAACAATGGTCCTTTGGCCAAAGAAGGGGGGAAAAAGAAAGAAAAATCCTTTGACAAATTCAGTGTTTTCTTTACACAGATCCTTTGGCAATCCAATTTTGCATTAGACTTTGGGCAATTCCAGTTGGATTTTGTGAAGATCCAATTCTTGGGAGGTGGCGGGCCAGCATATCGTTCAAACCGGCTTGGAAGACTGCGAGCCATTGACGGTGGCCTGCTTCTGCTATGCCTATGGCAAGCTGGAATATTTTGAGCGACAAGTGCTGGTGACTTGGCCAGCACTTGGCACCACTTCACGAATGAAGCCCAAAAAACCATCCCTATAGCCAGTGGCAAGAATCCCTCCCAATCCGAATGTGGTCCTTTGCATGGCTTGCTCTTGGGGCCCACGGGGCGTCGACTGTCAAATTCCCCACCGACGATTGACATGGAAAAAGAAGCGGACGTTGTAGGGCCCACGAGAAGCCCCCCCGCAAGCGTGGAGGGATGGACGTGGGTCGACTGCCCAGATTCCATGACATGATCTATTCCATTCTATTCCAAAGTATCTTCTCCCAGTTTGGGCGTTGGGTCTGCCTATGTATCTAAGGAACACACCCTCAGCGGACACCCCGAAAATGTGGGGGTCATTGAGCATTTTGACCCTGATCATATCAGGGGTTGATGAGTGTTCTTAGTTAGAGGTGATAGGACCCCCAAAAAGAGAAGCCACTGGACATTTCCATCGTTTCGTAGTACAACTCAATTGAGCATTCCCACCACATGTTTTCTTCAGTCCAGTCCGAGGCCACCTTGGGTCAGAGGACAGCTGGAGCGCTTTTTGCCGGGTTGGCTGTGGGACTGCAGGTCCAAACAGCTACACTACAGTGAGGGAACGCGATTCACTTCTCATGTCATAGACTCTATACTCTATACCACGTCATCATAGACGGTCCCCAGCTTTATCCAGTTTAGCTAATGACTTTTTGCATTCAAAAACCATCACCCAGAGCGACTGGTTGGCCATTTCGTGGTTTTTCGAAGACTGGGAGGTCGGCGCATGGCCGCTGCGGGGTCTGCGCGGTCTACGCGCTCGGACGCGTCTGGAGGATCACACCTCGGATGGCCGTACAAAAGAATGGTCCTGCGTCAACTCGTCCACATGCATTGGCATGCACCAATCCTGCAACGCATTCCAAGAGAGATGTTGTACAAAAGACTCTGCGAGAAGCTCAAGGAAGGGAGGAAGGAAGGAAGGGTGACCCAACTTGTCGAGTTCGTTCTTAGTCTTTAACAGGCCTAGTTCGATTGAGAAGCCTGGCAGCCAGATAGGCATTGGACGCAATGGGCTGGTTGCGATGGACTAGTTGCAGCATCTTGGCCCGAAACAAGGAAGCCGGTACAGCACAAGCTGCATCCATTTTTTTCCAATCTGTGTGTCAGGCCGTGGGAGAAACCCAAAAACAAGGCTCTTCAAGTGAGGGTGTTTCCTCCCATCGCTCCCCGTCACATTAGTGTGCCCATCACAAGGGGTGGCTTGCTAATCGACTCAGGTCAGTCCAGGTCAGTGACCGTTTCAGTCGGTGAGGAACTGAGGAACTGGCCACTAATGATTTTTTCACAATGTGTTCTAGGTTGGAGGCCAATGCTATTAGGTTGGAGGCCATCGCTATTAGGTTGCAGGCCATCGTTATTAGCTTGGAGGTCATCCCTACTAGTAGCTACTAGTAGCTCCTTGTTCCACCGAGCCGGAGGACCCTGAAGCTGGTGGATGATTTTTCTCCACGGATGCTGAATATGGCCTTGCTGGGACTGGCGGCGGCCACTGGGCAGATGGAGGACGCGGGCGTGTATTTCCGGAGAGAGTGTTAGGATGGGAGTTGTTGGGGGTGCTGATAGGGAGCCATCAGGGGTGTGGCAGGCTTCTGCTCATTTACTCCCATGGCCCACACGAAGAAGACCAGCATGAGAGGGTCAATGAAGAGTTGGTTTTTCTCAACCGCGGCAAGAAAAGGGGTTTGGATGAGTTTGGTCGGTTGCTGTGACGGAGCAAGTTGGAGGTAGCCTGAAGGAGGTCCTAGAATCGTCGTGCCGGGGAACTCACTGGTCCAGCTGGTCGATGTCCAGGTCTCCTCTTCCCGGGGCGCGCATTCTTGCTCCGAATTCACAGCTGACGGGTGAATTTACTCGTGAGCTGAATGCACGCTCCCTATTGCTGTATGTGTCGTCCATGAGCAGCCACATGTGGCCACGTCGTGTGGCCGTCTCGGCACCGTCTCGGCACCGTGTCGGCAGCACGTCAGGAGCTGGATCCCGTCTTAGAGAAGCTGAAAGTGGTCGTCGAGGACCTGTGCCATGTGGCGTCAAGACATGTGAAGATCCAAACACCGAGCAGCCGAGCATCGGCGTGTTTCTTTTGAGGAAGATCCCAAATGGATCGGGGAGACCATGCCCCCCAAACATGGAGAATGTCCATACTGATCATCCTGTTTCTTCAACGATATGGCCGCCAGGGGAGCCGAGCTTCGACCTTCCGACCGTTCGAACGAGGACCGCATGGCGGAGCTCTCCTATCGGGATGTGTCCACCTGCGCGTGCCTGGAAGTGAGGTTCAGAGTGCATCGGGGAAGGACGAAGACCATGCTTCAAAGAAGCCTTGTTCGGCGGAGAAGACGGGGGAAGGTCCAACATTTTATAAGATTGTCATGAAATAAGAGCCGCAACAGCTGTGAACTGCAACCTCAATGATGTTTTTTTGCGCCACATCCCTGGGGATAAACGATTCTGGGTGACCCAAGGGTGTGTCTCAACATGGGAGAGTGTGGTGTAGTGTTTGCGGAACCTTGACATCATCCCAGGCTTCCACCCCCAACCAATGATACTTCATCATCCAAAGCACATGGCTTTCCAGTTCCGGTGCTTCGAAGTGAGGTGGGACACCTCGTTCCGCATCTTCCAGTACACCCTCCGTCCCTCAACTCCACCCGTCCTCAACCTCTACTTGCGCTCAGGTTTGCCTTCGGCAAGTACAGCTTGCTGTCCAGGGAGCGCGAGGACCGACCCGACGGTCCGCAGATGGTCCGCAGAAGTGGCGCTGAAGTGTTCTTGGACCGATCCGCTTGGCCATGAAGAGAACACCATGAATTGAAGCAAGAGATGGCTCGTGTTGACTCCCCTGCTTCAACAACACGACAGGGCCAAGAGGTTCAGGGCTCGGGCCGGCTCGAGCTCTCTAAATTGATGCGTTTTCTGAACAGAGGGAGGGGGTTCTGACAAACCTGAAGTGCTATGCTCGTGCAAGAACGAGGTCCTCATTTTCTTACCCCAACTCATTTGGTGTTTTGTTGTGTTCGGAGCCTAGGGCCTAGGGTCATGCTCCACTCCACGGGATGTGTTCGCCGCACGGACTCAAGCTTGGAAAGCTTTGGAACGCACCCCATTGAAACCATCAATGAGATGATTGTATACTTACTAACATTGGGGTCCTCTTTTTGGGGTAAAGCACATGTCAATGCAGCCCCCATTCATTCATTATAACGTCTCACATTATTCCATCCGTGGATCGAAACTCGACGCGATTCACTTCAATGTTCACCGGTATATTGTGCGCAGGAAGCGCTGGAGGCGCCTGGTAGCGTGAATAGAGAGAAATGGGCGAGGGGGATTGTCACCGACCAGAAGGATGAGGCGTTCGTGAAGGCACTCAAGGACCGGATGCGAAACTCGGACACGAGAAACGGTGGAGATCTGGATTTGGATGGAACATGCCCTAGGGATCCAAGTAAATATATATATATATACTGTATATATACACCTTCTCAGAAGCAATGATGTCCTTTTGGGAAGAATAGAGGGTCGGTTTGGTACCATATACTCATTGGTTGTACACTTGGGGGTATCCCCTCTATTAACCAACCAACCAACCAACCAACCAACCAACCAACCAACCCACCGACCGACCGACCGACCGACCGACCAACCAACCAACCAACCAACCAACCAACCAACCAACCAGTCAAAAGGCCATGTATGCTCAGAAGGTACTTGGACCCTCCAAACCTACATGACGACATAACAGTGTCTCCAATCATCTTCTGAGAAGGTATTTGGGTCCCTATTCTTCCAGCTACAAGCTGTTACAAGTACGTACCGTCAGATTGTAGCAAGTTCTGGATTCAGTTTTTGACCCTGGGGATGGGAGGTGGAGGTGGGGAGCAGTTGTCCAAGAAAGGAATCACGTGAAAATGAGGCATAAGGATAAGAAGGCCATGAGTCATGAGAGGTTGAAGGGAAGTGACCTCTGGGGTGGTGGGGTTGATGAGGGGCTCTTGTGAGTTCAGGTCGTTCTTCATGACATTTTCTTGAGGTGGAAGGTATACTGATAATCCAATCCACATGAACCAAATCAACTCTTGCCTTGGCCACCCATCCAAATTTTTGGTGAGGCAATTCGTGCAACCTGGACTGGGCTGATGTGCTTACACATCGGGGCTCAGCAGCCAGGAACGCGGAAGATTGAGAACACCTCCCCCCCCCCCGGACCTTGAAAAAGGCCCACCCACCCGGTGCACCTCGCTACTAGGAGCAAGGACGCTACGAACGGGGCTCCTGGCCTTACTACTAGGAACAAGAAGCCAGGGCCCCCTCCGGTGGCCTCCCACCCCGGCGCGCTGACCAGCGGGTGCGCGTCGACGTCGACGGTCCGAAGCAGGACGAGGTGCTGCGGCGGGACCACGAGTCCTTCACCATGGCAGAGCTCAACTTAATCGCCCCTCGGGCGGCGGGGAACGTCCGTTCGATGACCACGTCCGCGTGTTCTGAAGAACAGGGAACCATTTTGGGAGCATCTTGTGAGCAGTTGCTTAGAAATCAAATCAATGCAAGTCACAAAAAGGATAGAAAAGCTTTAAAACTTCAAACAACTGGAAAAATCCCACAAAAACAAAACTGCAGACCGCCATGAACCATCCCAAAACTTCGGACACGGGGTGAGTTGGATTCCTTTTTAGTGGGGGTGCGGGGTGCTCAAGGAAGAGGCTTTTCGGAAGAGATCGGGTTTTGGTTTTGGAAGGCCGCCAAAGCACCCTATCAGTATCAATGCAAGTATTTGTTCGGCACTTCCAACAGAGGTTGACCCTATAAACTATCCCATAGGTACCCCAGTAAGGTCCTATTTACGGTCACTCAACCTCTCTTGGTTCTACTGATAGGACGACCACTGCACCCTGTGCCTCCGGGCTTTGACGGACTGATGGGTGGGAAACACCATCATGGGCAGAATTGGAACCATTGGAAGCACGAATTGATTCATTTGGCATCGTTTTTCCATAATTAGGGGTCTTGCCATCTGTTCTGTCTCCAATCAACTCTGGACTGATAGATAGAATGCCATAGGCTCATGGGCTGTGGTTTGTTAAGGTCCTGCTCGCCCTTCTCCCCCTCTTCGACCACAGTGGCATGACACCAGCGTTGAAGTGTTTGCGTTGGAAGAGGCCCATCCGAGCCATCACCATCCATTTTTGCAAGAGGCCCATCCGTCCAGCACTAAGGTGTATGCCCTCATGAGGATGAAGCATCGTGATCAAGACTTCCTCGGAGTTTGTGCCCCTTGGCCGTTGTCCGTGGAGGTCGGACGTGAATGGATGGTGGACGTGAATGGTCGGCTGGTTGGAGTTCGGAGGGTTTGAATTCTTCAGCTCCTTTGCGCCGGAGATCGATGCGCCCAGGCAAGACTCTTTGAGGAGAACAGTGCAGAGTTGATGTTGGTGGAGATTCTCAACATCCTGCACCGGGCCAAGGGCCGAGGGTTGAGGGAGGAAGGGTCTGGCCCAGGGTCTGGCGCCTGCTACAGGTACTTCCAGTTTCCAGCCACAAAACAAGGAGGTGATGGAATTATGGATGTAAGTTCTGTTAACATACATTGACATCTGACTTCTGTGTTTTGTCAGCCTCTAGTCTCAAAAAGTCCCAGGTGGTCCCTTTTTGATGGGACACATCTCTTAGAGGTGGTTCTGTCTGTCAGTGAGTTTGTGCCATCAAAAAGCTTCGGTGAAGCCTATTGAAGATGCATCATTGATGGATCACAGGAGAGAGTTTGTTCTTCAAGATGCAGATTGAGCAGGCTGGACGCCTTCTTTTCTCAATGCTGGAATACTTTTGTTTTCTTTTGTTTACACCCTGGAAGACTAACATGGACTCTGAAAACCACTGGTTGGTAGAGGAACACAATCTTCCAGGAGGCCATTGTCAGGGTCCATGTTAGTTTTCGGGAGTGTAGTTCTTCCCTGTACCCTGAAGTTCGTTCAGCGGCTGAAGTTGGAGCCTTGGGTTGCTCGGACACCGAGCAACCCCAAGGAGTCATCAATACGAAAAGGCTCCGAGCTCCATTCTGGGGCAAAGGGGTCCGGGCAGAGTTTGGGTGGCGAATGAAGTGTTGCTAATGGAGACCGGCCTCTTGTCGTGCTTGTGCACTGTTTGGACCTCGGCGGTTGACAAATATATTACGCCTCCATTAACGCCTCCGTTTGGAGTGGAAATGATGGGGTCTTCGTTCATCAACCACCTACGTCGTTGTCCTCTGGGATTGGACCCACAGCTGTGCCACACACCAGGTACGCCTTCGGAAGGGTCGACTACATTCAGATGGGTCTCGTTCAAAGATTGATCGAGGAGCACACCGTTGCGGCCGTCCCAGCGCAGGTGACCTCAGGTTCAATGATGGTCTCCTACTTTACCGTCATGTCCCACCAGAAAGCCAGCGGGAACCGAGATGACTCCAGACGTCCACCCAGACCGTAGACTCAGCTAGACTCATTTGGATCCTGACGGGTGCACTGGCAAGACAGGTGACCTTCGAGGTGCCCAAATCCCAACAATCACGGGTTTTGTTGATTTTAGAAGCTACTGGGTGGAGGCCATCGCTATTAGGTTGGAGGCCATCGCTATTAGGTTGGAGGCATTTGGAGGCCATCGCTAGTAGGTTGGAGGCCATCGCTAGTAGGTTGGAGGCCATCGCTGCCATCGCTAGTAGGTTGGAGGCCATCGCTAGTAGGTTGGAGGCCAT